ATACTGTTGAAGTCATTCAAGTAATTAAGTTTCCTTATTTTGAATTTTAGTCGAAAAATAAAAGCATGTATTCGTATTCACACAGGCACATTCAGCTGATAATATTTTTTTTTAAATATGAGTTTTAGAATTCTATGCGGATGGAGAAAAATTAAAATTCAATACAGATAATATCAAGTTATACACACGTACGAGGAATTTAGGCGGGGCAGCGGAGTAAGTCAACAACGGGAAACACCGGAAGTCTAAACAGAAAATAACTGTTAGCCTTAAAGAATATTTACCCCCTTACCCTTACCTTTTAGGAAAAAGAACTTATGAAGGATAGTTTTGCCTAAGTTTCTCCTATACATTCTCCTATAAAATTAAGACATGCAGTTTTACAAAAAACTTCTGTAAATTATTGTATGCGCTACGTAAAGTAAGTAGGATGTTTATTGACTTATGGCAAATAAAGTCCTTAGACTAATCAGTGTTTATACACACAACTGCCAGTAGTGCTTAAAGGGTGCTTTTCCTGACTGGTAGTTTGCTTATCATCTGTAAATTGCCGATACTTCAAGAGTTCATGTGTACTACCGTCTACGTTATATTACCTGTAGCGTGCACGTACATCACGTGAATATTCGCATGTTATACCGTGCATAAACCAAGCCTAGATTAATAGTTAGTTAGTTTTGTAGCCGGTCTTAAACCGCCGAAAGGAGGTTGGACGTGGGGCTAGCGATCCTACTCCGGATAATCAATACAGTTGCTACAGAATCTCCAAAGCACAACAAAAATATCAGAAACAAACTTATTCTTCGCCGGAACTAGAGAGGGAAATGATGCAGGCTGGTGAAAACCTCCAGGAAACCAATCAGCCGATACATCTCCTTTTGATAAAACCACAAATAAATATCGGAACATCGAACATCGGTACAGTGTACAAGACTGGGAAAACTACCCAGGTTACCAAAGAGGTAAGAAGATATGGCACTAGTGTGCTAAGAATCTTTGAAACCAAGAGGAATGGATGTGAACTATCCAAAATTGCTAACTGCAGAGTGAATCATCTACTCAGGTCACTCAGGCGAAAACCAAAAACACAATGATGAAGTGGCCATTATGATTTCACCAACAGCCGCCAAAGCTCTTAGGCAATGGTAACTAATCTTCTCTAGAATAATGACGCCAAGATACAAATCGAAAGGAAGGAAAGTTACAATTATCTAGCGTCACGCGCCTACAAACAACACAGAACAAGGGGAGAAGCAATATTTCTATAGACAACTGCAAATAGTAATAGATAGCATCTTTAATGGCGATATTAAAATCCTAATGAGTGGTATGAATGCTAAACTGGGATGAGAGAATACAGGTACATAGTTCTTGATGGATCGAGAGGCTCTCAGAGAAATGAATGAGAACGGAGGACTGTTAGCAGACTTCTGAGCCTTCAATGATTTGGTGATTGGAGGCAGAGTGTATGAGCACAAGGATATACACAAAGTAACATGGATTTCACCTGACGGACATACGAAAAAGCAAAGTTACTTCATCTCAATCTCAAGAAAGTGCAGCAGATGTGGGCTTAAATATTATCTAATGCAAGGAAACTTCAAAGTCAACCTAACAATATTCAAAACAGTTGAAAACAGACCATAATTCAAGTTCAACACTCATAAACTGAAGGACGAAACTTCAAAAAGACACCCTCACTGCAGCTATCAGAGCAAAGCTAGAGACACTACTTAGCATCCACTAAGGAAACCTGTGTGGAAGAACACTGGAAATCTCTGATGTCTAAGGCAAGGCAACGAATAGCTGTCTGTGGATACCTGAAAGACACCGGAAAAGGGGGATGGTGAGACAGAAGATGAACAACAGTGGGAGAGGCTGAATTCAACCTACATCGCATTGAATAAAGAAGGGTGCCAGGAAAGACAAAAAATAATTCTACAACACACTAACAACTCAAGCAGAACAGGTCTAGAGCAAGAGACCTCAAAACATGATATATAAATATATATATATATATATATATATATATATATATATATTATATCAGAAATCAACGCAGATGAAACCTATAAAAAATGGTCAAGAGAATCAAATTACCGAAGAGGAGTTACAAAGAAAACATTGGACTAATCACTTCAAGAACTCCTGAATCAACCATCTTACTTACTTTACTTTACTTCGGCTATCTCCTACGGGAGGATGAGCCGGCTTCATGAACATCTCGAATCATCGCTGCCCAGGCGCGGCGATCTGATGCAAGGTTTTGCGACAGGGATTTCCAATTCTTGTTCCACAGACGGAGTCCGTAGACGGTTTGTAGCCCCAGGCACTCCATATCAGCCTTGACTGTACCAAGCCATGTTTTCAGCTGTCCACCACTGCGACATCGCCAAGATGGAAATGGCGAGGGATTTAGAACTAATTTGACCAGATCGTCATCTGGTCGGCGCAGAACATGGCCAAACCACCGAAGGCGACGTTGTTGGACCAGTACTGGAATTTGGTTGATGTTGTAGAGAGTTCATGAAATCTCATGGGAATTAGGTACGAGTGATGTCCCCAGAATCGCTCGGCCTTTTGTTTGACAGTGCAGCTCTAGCCTTTACACAACCAAGTGTGACCTACAAGGCAGTAGGAGTGGAGTAGGGAGTTCACTATCCATTGGCAGCCAGTGACCGGAGTCCGTTTCATACGCCATTGTGAACGGGGCCAGACATCCAGGACATCCAACAAGCCCTTTGTCCATACGTCTGCCGGTGAGCTCCGGTGAGCTTCATACGCCAGTCGTTGGAGGTTTGGAATCAGGGTTTAGCCATCTCCCCTAGACTGTCATCCAATGGACAGTCAACCCGGTGAAGAGCGCCAGGCATCCGCTTTTGCCCTCTTACTTCGGTGAAAAACACCTCCGCCACGTGAAGTCAGTGAGTAGGACTTCCTCAGGAGAGGCTGTGTAAGACATCCGGTCATATGGGAGCATTTCAAGAGGTGTACGGAGGGGTGGCCAACCCGCAGCGCAAGGCACTCACCCCCGACCATCCTGAGGCCTTGGAGGTTGAATCAACCATCACCTGCAACTCGCCCAGAAATACCACCAAAAACAAGCACAGAATTGCCTGTCAATGGACACCAATCCTCCAAAGAAAGCAGAAATCTTGAATGTAATCAAGCCACTGAAGGCCAATCAGGAAGGCAGCAGAGCCAGACGGAATCCCCCCCCACGAAGCAAGAGACTGCGGCAGTTACGCTGTCACTATTGCAAAAGGTTTCGAAGAAAGGCTGGCTACCCTGTCAACCTACTAAAGAAGGGCGACACATGCCTCTGCAACGACTGGTATGGAATAATGCTCTTGTCCACGCCAAGTATAATGCTAAGTCGCGTCATCCTGGAGGGAATAAAAGATGCACTGGATGCAGAACTCCACCGCACCGAAACAAGCTGGATTCAGTAGAGGTAAATCATGTGCTGATCAAATTGCAACTCTATACATCATCACAGAACAAAGTATGGAATGGTAGTCAAACCTCTACCTCAACTTCACCGACGTCGAGAAGGCCTTCAACAGCGTTGACCGAGATGTAATTGGGAAACTACTTCAACACTATGGCGTGGAGCGCCTTAGTCTTTATCAGCCTCATTCAACAGCTGGCTATATGACATTGCCATGTGTCGGGTGATCCACAAAGGAAAACTCAGTGAGGCGTTCGAAGTGAATACAGGAGTAAGACAAGGCTGGCCGCCTATTATCACCACGGATGATAATCCTAATTGTGGTGGACTGGATTATGCGGCAAACTGTGGAAGGTGAGGCGACAATTCACTGGACCCATAGGAAGACTCTAGAAGATCTGGATTACGCGAACAACTTGTCTCCAATATCGCACAAAGTCGAGAGAAACATAAGGAAGACAGTGGTGATGAAAATAATTAAACAACAACAGGTCCCAATCACCTTCAACAGAAGTAATTTGGAAGAGGTGACTATCTTTACTTATAAAGACAGCATCGTTTCACTTACAGTCGGCATCGATGAGGTTGACAAAACTAGAATGGGGAAGACAAGGCAGAACTTCGTCACTCTGAAATCAGTTATAAAATCTTTAGGACTCAGAATAAAGAATACAATTCAGACTTCCAACAACTATATTAAGTCGGTTCTTCTTTAAGTGTCAGCAATTTGGCGCCTCCCTAAAAGCATTTCTATCAAGCTACAGACTTTTATCAACAGCTGCATTTCCTGGCTCTATAATGAATATCAAATGGCTGGCCAGAAACTCAGGGAACAAACCAATAAAAAAACCTATCGCCCAGCAAACATCCCGAAGAAAATGATACACGCTAAAGAGACTACTCATTGAAATCATACACCATAATGGTCTTCGATTGGAAAATGAGTTGGGCATCTGAGGGAGACATGGGGAAGATCGTGTGAGGAGAAGATGAAAGTTTGGCAGCAACCGTGGGGCCAACTAAAGAAGAAATGAGGGTATGGAAATGCACTGCTGACGCCCCATGTCCCATTCTGAATCCAAGGGAATAATAGTAATACTGCGCATAATTAGCCATGATGAGGCAGACAAAACTTACTTTGTGAAAACAAGAAAGATGTTGAGTACAAGAGACAGACATTAGACTATAAAACTAACTACATTTTTTGTCCCAAATATCCAGTAATGACAAAGTTAGAAGACATAGATTATCGAGTCCTAATCCAAGTGGCTGAATTGTTAACGAGCTTGCTTTCCTTAACCTGAAGGTCCCTGATGAGGTAGGTCACCGACGCGCACCACTGACGAGCTCCAAAGTATGAAAAACAGTTGTTGCATTCTCTGATTTTCAATGATCTCTAACTGACATTGATTCGCAACGAAATTTACACGGAAATTAATCCAAATCCTAAGAAAATCCATAATCTAAATATTATAAAAGACATTTAGACTTTTGTTGGCACAAATCAACATAACAAATGAAATATGACGTTTTGTTTCAAAATACTTACAAAAGCCAGTTCAGTTGTTAGGGAAATAAGTTGACCGGGTGTTCGATAGTAGTGAGCAGGTAATGGGGCCACAGAAGGTGTATTCAAAACATCACTAGGCTGTAAGGCTACAAATGAATTAAGTAGGTAAGAAGACTTTCAAAATATCAGAAGAAATCAGTTAAATAAAAATGATCTAATTACGAAAACCAAATGTGTTTTTCATAAATCAAACATTCCATAGAAATAGTTTAGAAAGACACTATGATAACAACTATTTTTACAGAATGCTTCCTAACAATCCGTAGTGACTAGAAATGGGTAAATCCCTCTCTTCTAGTCAAAATCTTCGAACTAAGTTACGAAGTAGCACTGTGCACAAAAATGCAGCAGTTTAAGACACCACACTCCATATAGCATAAAGTTAGAAATTTTCAAAGTATAATGGGTAGATATGAACAATGCAAGAAATATAAGGAGAATCATGAGTACCTTATGGATCTGGGAGATTACGAAGATTGAGTGAATCAGTGTCATTGGAAACAAAGTCACCATTATACATGTAACAATTGGTTCAACATCGGGTGAAAACGATGTCTCAGAAACGTGTTATCTGTATGTAGTCTCGGTGGAGTGAGCAAATAATATGGCTGTTTTTGATGAAATTGGTGATAATATGAAGACTTTTCTACACATTTCCAACCAACAGCTGTGTTGGAACGCATATCACCAAAGACACATAAGATAACGCTGCAAGATTTTTCCTAAGAGAAATCCTAAGTGAAATCGTAAGTGTTGATCAACTCATCTATATTGACAGTTGCATCAGTCTCTTTGGGTTGGTTCCTGACAAAATCTCTGGACAATTTGCATTCACTAACTTGCATCGCCCTTAGCCAAGGTGATATCCAGCTATCTAGTAGACGAAATGTTATGTGCATTAGTTCGCTTCAACTTACTTCACGGCTGTGGCACATGGATTGAAGATGTAAACCCAGGAAAGATGAATAGTTTCTTACTACAGCTGTCTAAGGTTATGTTAGCTGAAAGAGCACGGAATCAATCCATGAAGTCGTTAACCATTGCTCTAACCAACACATGGGGGTGTGGACTGTCTGACTGAGGTCTTTAAGATGCTGAGGATAACGGGTGGAGACTGTAGGCGAAACGCCACAAAGCTGTCTACAGTGGAGTGGACGTGTCCATTTATTATCACCCAGAGTCTCAAAATTGTTACTAAAAGACAAACAAAATCCCACAGTTTGTGCTAGGTCTGAAATATCAGTCAGGAAGAAAGAGGTGGTTGTCTTAATAGGACCAATCTTCCACAAGCCTTGGACTTGAAGTCTGGCCCATAAGTCAGTGGAGCGGCGTTAGGAGCTATGTTCCCATAAATTTCGGCTACCAAAACTGGTTTATACGCCATTCGATCCGTTCGAATTGTGCAACCCATATACACCATAGGTTTTCCAGATCCCCTAGGTAGACCTGCATGTTCACCAGTTCGGTTGCAAGATACAGACGTTCACATTTCTACTTTCAATTTTTTAAGTAACACCCCGTTCCCGTGAAGGTAGTGAATACGACCTATCTGTCAGAGGCTATGAACGCGTGGCCACATGACGTTTCAAGAAGGAAGTCTACCCACCTTCGGTCATACTAAGTCGTTTATGGAGACAGATTCTCGGATTGATCACTAATTTTGTCCCCTGCAGGTCATCTCTCAATATATCCTTAACACATTTTCCTTTGCCATCACGATGATACCTTAAAAAATTTAGTGTAGACCCTTAGCTATCCTAATTATGTCGCTGGCTTGATGTATTCCAGTATTACCTTCTGATCTAAACGGGAATTCTTACTTCTCTAAGGTACTTAATTCATCCTTTAGATGTAACTTGAAATTTATTACACTTGAAGATGAAATTATGTAGCCGAAGGTCCGAATATTTGTTAGATACAAGTAACAAAAAATTTATCCTTCAAGGCTAAAACAATAAAATAATGGATAGAACTTACGACGTTTCCACAATAGTGTAGACAAACCAAAGTCTGTTAATTTCAAATGCCCTTTGGAATCAATTAGTATGTTATCTGGTTTAAGGTCACGGTGAATAATCCCATGCTTATGGAGATACTCCAAGGCTATCGCAATTTCAACAGTGTAGATAGCAGCGTGGTGCTCCTTCAAACAACCCATAACTAATAACAGCGACTTTAAATCACCACCAATGAGATACTCCATGACCTAAATTGTGCAATAAAGATTATTTGACTATTACCAGGTGAACATAGCTGGCCGTCTGTAAACAATAGTATAGGTGGACAATATAAGGACATTTGCTGATTGCAAGAGCATTTCGCTCGCATGTAACTACAGAAGAATGTTTCAAAACTGCCAGCTTACGTTTTTCTGCAAGGTTTTTCTTTCTCATTTCTTCTTTGGACACTATTTTAATAGCATAAACGAGGTCTAAATTGTTGGCCTTTGCACCCAGAAACACTTTACTTCGAAAGCATAAGTAAAAAACTGTTGAACTACCCAAATGCTCCTTTACTAATGGGTTTTAACAAAATGAAATCTTCGGCAGAAGGTGGAGTAACCTTTCCTACTACAAAAGGAATCCCTTCGCTGGTCATACTTTGAAATCCCTCGCGATCTTTTAATTTGTATTGGCGCGTCTAGCCAACAAAAATAGATATCAAGTTCTAGCCCACATAAATAACCGATTAAAACCTTTCCAAATTCCCCTTGATGTGAGATAAATTGCAATATCTGACATATTAGCCATTATGTTTGGTCCCGATAAATTTTATACAAGTACTTTTTAAAAGTTACAATTGTGAGATTAAAGTGGAATACCTAAGTAGTTATAAATGATGGGAATCACTCTACAAACTTTTTAACCAGTATCTCGGCCTAAGTGGCAAAAAGGTACTCTAAGTTCGTGGCAAGTGCTAGGAAAAGGCAGCTAACTATTCTTACTGTGCGACAAACCTAGACCCAAAACGAAGACTCAGCGGCTGACCCCATGTACACAGCCCTCCTTAAGACCATCAAAAGACACTGGTACAATCAGAGAATGTAGTGCACATTGTACCTTTGAACTTTTGTTTAAACTGACTCACCCACGGTGATCCACGTTTTATCTTTTGACTTGGGAGTCTTCCGTACGTTCATTGGTTCGCTCTCTTGTTGTGCTCTCTTTTTGCACACTCTCCGAGCCTACCTCCAGCAACGTCTGCAGATAAGTTGTACAGTCACTTTATTTATTAAATCTGTTATTCAGTTACGTTAAATACAACTCATACTAAGAATTCTTTCCATTGTTAGCTTTTAAACTTTGATTGAGTTAATCAGTACTTACACGTTAGGTAGAGTACTGGTAAGGTCATAAGACGGTGAAGTTTTTTAGTAAGTGTGGTGATATCGAAGACTATCTTAAGTCTAACCTCAACACTTACAAAAATTTCATAGGAGCAGTAAGAATTTGTTACAGCAGTGGGTGTACACAGTAGGTGGAGTATAAGTGTCTGAGATAAAATATGATTTTCAGGAAGCCTCATTACACAACTAAAATCAAACTTGGGGACCTTTACCAACTCAAGACCAGAACAAAAGTCACCAGTCAAGCATCACTCGTCATTAGGAATCTACATAGATATCTGAAGCTTTCAACAAACCCTTCGACAAACAGTTGAACGGTAAGTAAGTAAACGAAATGCAGCCATGTATAAAGCCCGCCATTTAGGCTGACAACGTGGATTTTGTTCCCACTCCTAGTCAATCCTGCTATGCGTTCAGAGAATATATTGAAGCCTCATTCAGACAATTTTCCCTCAGTAAGATAACAAGGTCTGTGGTTCTCGAACAGTACGCTGATGTCTTCTGCACCGCACTGGGGAATTCATTTCAGCTTTTTTTTAGAAAGACAGTTGACACTTAAGAGACGTAAGCAGACTATTCCTTCCTGTCTTCTCAAGAAGAATTCGACACCATCTGGTAATCTCAAAAGGAATGGGAAGTCAGACATGCATCCTCATCACGGATCACTTGAGGAAGACAATATCCCCCAAAGGATTTCAAAGGGATATTTAAAACTTACTAGCAGCAGCAAACAAATCGACAGCACACTAGGGGCAGAAAGCCCTACTCTGTGGTTAATTTTTGGATCTAGTCTGAATCGGATATTTTATCACACCAAATTGCCACTTGGAAAGCCTCTGAGTGAGCATCAGTAACGCAGGGCTAGTCTACATCGTGAGCAGGAAAATCTTGCGTGCTCATCATGGAAATGGTCCTATACTTAGGTATGTGGATGATTTACAATCATTTAACGCTATGATGAGCAAAAACGATTACCTAATGACTTAACCACCGTCGGAAAAGTGACCGAGGTAAGTTGACGGAAATTCAGACCAAACAAGTGCCGGGTTGTTTTTCAGCACAAACTAACGATATAGCTAAACACTCCGACAAATACGCAGAAGAAAGTGGTGATGAACTGAACATACCCAGCCAGAAAACATCAAATAGCTACAAGATAACTAAACAAATTAAGAAAAACAGGCGGAAATGTGACATTAAAAATGAAAAAAGAATAGTCTCTCACGGCAGTAGAACATAACTAACGTCGATTAAGAATTCCCAGAGTGTCAACGTTAGTAAACACTGAATCGTTCATTAGTTCGAACTGGTCTCCACATCAGTGTGAGACTGGAAGGTTATGATTGCTTAATCATGTACTGGTTGGTTGGCAGAAGATTGGATACATATGACCAGAACCATTGTTGTCCATTATACTAACGTTTACTGACAGACTTTGACAGTGAGTAACGATTGTAAATCCGTTTGGTCATCGGTTGTAGAATGAATGATACTTATATTTATTCCTATCTACGTAAGACACCCAAGTTGAACAGGCATGGATAACGATTTAGATTACATGAATTTGGTTCTTGGTAAAATGACATGGTTGCTATCATTTCTGACATTGTGAGTGCAGTCTACCAAATAGTCGTTCAAAGGAGCACATCAAGAAATATATAAATATTGTCTTCGCATTTACAAAAAACGTCAGTGTGTGTTGAATGGATTACAAATATTTGGGGAAAAATAAAGCTTGAAGTCAATTCCTCCATATGACTTTGGTGTATGCGGCATCGTATCTTGTTCTTGATTTTTTTTCAAATCGGGTATCAATTTGAAATGGGTGATTTATTTGTATGATTTCGTCAGCATTTTTATAGTAAGTAACACCAGATGCGAATTCTACTGATTGCAGATTAATATTGATTACTGTCACGCAGATTTGTTTTACTGCACCCACGTCAGCCAAAGCTGCCATTTGCCATTGCATGGTTGTTCCGTACGAGTAAGTTGATTAACACATATAAAGCTATTTTAAGCCATTTTAGATAATTGACAGTGCTTGCATAGGATCATGTACAGCGTCTTGTTATGGTGACACTGGATATCCCAAGGATGATGAGTCATTACTAGCGAAACCTTGAAGGTGGACACATATAGCGAGTCACGCTAAAATGCAACTCAAATGCTGAACGTACCAGAAAAGTATGTTGTCCAACTGTCTTCTCTTTTTCCTGCGTCGGTTACAGTGTATAGTATTCTCCCTACTTGGCTAAGTCTTTCGGAACCAATTCTACGTTGAGGATTTTTTCATGTGAATATCATTTAAAGTCTTCTGACAAAATGACTTTTATCTCACTATATAGTCTATACAGTGGAGTTGCTACATAACTGAGGCTTCTTAGAGTTCGACCATAAGATTGGGCCCTCCACGAGGAGTTTACCGGTTTTCTGTCATTACCTTGACTATTGATATCTCACTATTCACGTATATACTGGCCAGTTCATACTTCATGATCGCAATCTATTACCCTGTGTAAAACACGACACCTAATTCTAGCAGATTATTTCCCTGGGAAACCTCATGAAGGAATTCAGTGAGAATACAAATACGATTAGGCCATTACTGCCTCTTTGCAACCCAAATCACGATACCAATTCAGACAGATTGCTAAAGCCTGAGCGTGTATTAGACTTTATAGCGAATGAAGTAACCAAACGAATGATGTCTTCCTACACGTACTCGCATACAATCTGCCCGATCGGATGTCTCTGGACAAAATCAAAGTGACATGTTTCGAAGCATGCGGCGTGCCATCAGCAAATTTTCACCTAATCAGACTTATGAAAAAATCAGGAAAGTATACTAGACCTGTGCTGCTTGAATTCAGTAGTCCTGATGATGCGGTACGTTCAACGTTTGCGTTACATTTTTACGTGATTCGTTACATAAAATTTATCTTGTTGTAATACTTGCACAAGTACTATACTACTCCATACTAGTAACCACTAACTCTCATTTCTAATAGTTATGGTTAATCAAAGTAAAAAGCGACGAACCCATTCCCCTGTAAAACTGGTGTCTAATTTAACGTCCTTGATTGCTACATCAAGCAACACACCCCCTACAAACGGCTATAATGAGTCACATAACTCACTTGTATGCCGTAAGCGTCGAGCTGGAACTGAGGGTAAAACTGTACTGACAGCTAGTATTAGCACTACTCCTAAAAATTCAGTACCCTCTGCTCATACAGAACCCATCCCTTCACCTTATGTGCTTATCGAAAAACTCCAGCCATCAAGCTCTTTTTCAGCACTATCTTCAGAAATAGAACTTCTAAAGTTGTTTATAAGTGAACTTAAGGCTGAGTTAAGGGGAATAAAAAACAGTAAGTCAGTAAATGCTGGAAACATCGAAACCGATACCAAGATATCCAAATTATCAGATCAGATCAGCGATATCAGATCGCAGGTCTGTGAGTTGACACCTCTAACTATCCTCATGAAAACTATAAACCTTAACAAGCTTGACACAGAATCGGTAACTAAGGCAGATAACCTCATTAACTTTGTTACCACAGAAGTAACAAAACGACTCGACGCAAAACTGAGTGCTATTGTCTACAACGTTCCGGACAATGAGGCACTAAGAAAGGTACAGCGCATCTTACTTAGTGAAGCGAAAATGCCTAACTCCAAGACTAAGTGCTATAGGCTGAAGAAGAGTCAACATGAAAAGTGTTGTCCTATTTGTTTTCAGTTCGAAACACCGGCAGAGACCAGAAAATTCATCCACTCCCAACACGCCCTATCGCAAGCCAGAAACTACAAACATATAAAGGTCGGGGTGGACAAAACAGTCATAGAGAGGCGCGCATACAACTATCTCGCTAACACTAATTGTGAAATAGGTAATAGGACATTGCAAGCAGCCATTATTCCCAACCCTGTGAAAGATACAGTAGACCCCACCGCATCACCCCTCTCAAAACACACAGAATTATCCCATCAGAGTGCAACACCAGCTGAAAGGCCACTACACTGTAAGCAAATAAATAACAAAACCATACCACCTATCACCGCAGAATCTAAAATTCCACTAAATAACTCCAGGAAAAAAGTCAAAACCCCCCGAAATTTGACATTGTCCTCTCCTAGCCATAACTTCATTGCTAAAGGTAAGGAAAATATGCCCCTAAATCATACCAACAAAAACAATGGCAGCTTAAATAAACCCACACTTCCCACGGTCAATAGTACTAGCACCCACAACGTGCTTAATCGCACCATGGCACACACTGATGTCCAATGTCACAACAA